TTCTAATTACTGCTGTTTTATCACTGATAAACTATTGTCAAACTGGTGCTTTTCCATCACCGTAACACACACAACATTGCCAAACATAAAAGTATCAAAAAATAAAAAATACCTGTACAACCGTTGCAAGTGTATCCGTAGTATTAGCGACCGGTAAATCGATGTGTGTAGCGACGAAATTCGTTGTTGCAGATGTTAGGGCCGATAACATTGGTGTTGGACTGGCCAGAAAAAGCGATATTGTATTGGCCAATTCCAGTGGAACAGCAAACGCTCCAACATCACTCTACAAAAATGTCAACGGGTAAACATACCTAAATCTTATCCCTAGGAGGATGGTTGAAAATTACATATTGTAATAAGATACACGTAAGTGTTGCTGACAAAGTGCAGTGACACAATAAATGAAGTAAAATGGGGATTGGAAGGAAGTATGTGGGAAAGGAGCCAAATTAGTTTGCAGCCTCTGTTTCATCCCTTAGCTGTAAACACAGATAGAGAATCTGATGCGAGCTGGAGCGGGGAATCATCAGTGCAGCCACCAACTTGCCATCTATGAAATGGATCGATAACACACACGTGACAATGGGAATAGAAGAGAAGAGAAAAGGAGAACAGAACAGAATAGAATAATAGGAGCAGTATCTAAAGAGACACGTTCTGGTCGTTCCACTTCATCGTGAAACGACCAGAATGCATCGCGAAATTTAAGGGGAAAAAACAAACCTCCCGTGACATTGCGCGCCGATAGAAGCTGAAATCATTTTGCAGTGCCGGGGTGCACATTTTTACGGTATCAAATGAAAGTACAAAATCGATGAGTCGTGCAAATTGTCGGCATGTTGCTTGTAATGTGTCCAGCTGTTCCGCCGGTGGCAGTGGTCCTGAAATATGCAAAATTTTGTTTGATGTGGAATTTAAAAAAAAAAGACAATTAGAGGGGAACTGTTTGGAAAAAAAATAGAATAGAGAAGAAATTTTGCCCTCTAACTTACCAAAGAAGCACCCAAAATCGCTTACCTGAACAAAGTTCCCAGAGTAGAAGCGGAACAATTTGTTCGATACGTTGTGAGAGTTCGTAGTAAGTACGAATCCTTGTCACCAGCTTATCCAGGATATCCAGAGCTGCTCGTTGCGCATCCGGGTTGTTCGGCTGCTGAATTGCGATTCGTATTTCGGCCGATGCGCCTGCCGAATAGCATTTCACATCTTCCAACAGCACATCGGCTTGTTCCAGTATCTAAAATATTACATCCAAAAACACAATTAATATTAAGGGAAAGGGGGAAGAAAATTTGAGGGACAAGAAAGAGTGAGAGGAAAATTTGAGGAACAAAAACCAC